ACCCACACCCACACCCCACACCCACACCCACACCCACACCCACACACACACACACCCCCACCCCACACCCTGATGGGCGATATAATTACGAAATCTAGCAATATAATTTTGAGCTGGAATTGATTTGTAACGATTGTGCACCGTTTTCCAAGATCTTCGCCTTTTGCCGGTAGCATTTGTTTCATCAGCATATGCTACAACTTCTTTCATGAATTCAAGAGAATAATTTGAAAGATGACGTGGTTCAAGCACAACTTAAAGATATTAATATTAAAATTACGACTATAATAAGTACATCTGTACATTTTCTCGATGGTTACTATTACAAATGAGAATGGAAAACTCAGAACATCTATTTATCATAAACCAACAACTGAACCATATATTTTACCATATACATCGGATCATCCACATCATATTTATCGTAATATTCCATATGAAGCATTATTACGTGCTGCTCGTATTTGTTCACATGTCAATGATTTTAATTCAGAACGTATCCGTATTGATATGTCATTATTATTGAATAGTTATCCACCAAATTCTATTACTAAACAATTCCATCGATTCTTTCGTTTAAATAGTGCAATGCCTGTATTAAATGAATTAAATGAAGATGTTTACCACCATTTACATCAAACTCTATTACAACAACCAACACGTCGTGAGAAAAAACTTATTAACATGATGCAAGATTCAATTGCAAAACCATTCGTATTACAACCAAAAATATGGAATAAAGAAATAATGTATCCATGTTATCTCTATGATACTAGTCTCACCAGTAATTTACCAAATCAATTCTACAAATGGTGGCAAACCTATTATGCATTTCCTGGATCACCACTTGAACACATAAAAGTGATGCTTGTCGCAAACACCAATCGTACTTTAGAAAGTTTTTTCATTCACAAGAAACCTCCATGCGAACTACTAACAAAAATGGAAACAATATGAACAATCGCTATTTACACACCCTACCTACTAATGTCAATTATATTCAAATGTTCCATTGGTGTCAACTACATGAAATCGTACTTATTCTTTAGATGTTTCTCCTCATAAACAATTGATACAACATATTTGTCTTGTTGTAATTTTCTTTTGAAGAAATAATAAAAAGTGTAACTTTGGATAAAACAAGTTTCCTTTTCTAAAAAACAAAGCCATCTACTCTAACATATAGAATCTCGTATACTTTTTCTTTCTTCTTTTGTTTCAGATTTAATATCCATATTTTCGCTATTAAATTAAGGAATATTCTAGCCTGATTTATCTCAAATGGCTTGCCACAACAACGACACAATCGGAACCAATAACACTTCGTCATTCTCATCGGATGTCGAATTAGAAAAAGGAAGTCTCGATTGGAACACAGAAATTCCTTGGAATCATCTTACATATACACATCTATTATAAGAACTTTCTGCGATATATTAAATTTTATCTCATTATTTTCAATGATAATGAGAGTCTTTGACTCCTTTTAACTTCATCTTGTGTGAGATTCTATCTTTTCCAATGCAGTTTCTATCTATTCCGAACTTACCTGATGATGACTGTTTAAGCAATAGTCGAAACGATCGCCGTAAGCAGCTTGGAATCATCTTAAATATCCACATCCACACCCACACCCACACCCTTATTGAGAGTCTTCTTGGCTCTGATAATTATCTAAATGCTCGAGATTTAAGTTAATATTATGCAATCAATCGAAGTTCCGAAATTGCCTGATGAGTCCCTTAAGCAAGGACGAAACCGGTCGTAAGTTTGCTTGGAATTTCATTCAATTTAAACAC